AAACCTCCACTGCCATTCTTGCTTTGGGATTTGATCTCCTATGGGAGGAGAGAGAGTACTTCCTTGAAAGTATTTGAAGCCATCCATCAAAAACTTCTTTTCTCAGCTCTGTAATACCTTACATTTCTTCAGAATCTTCTCCTCTTTAAGAAAACCATCTTAAGGTATTAAAAAAACCTTTTTATAAATATGAGATCTCCCTGTTATTTACATATTGACCAGTTTCTTCAGGACATTTCCTAATCTGACAGCCATAAGTTTTACATGTTTCATATAAGGAGTCACCGGACCACAGTGTATTTTGAGAGACACATCAAGAGTATAGGAACATTAATATAAGATTAATTGGACCCAGTTTTTGGATACTTCAGCAAGGCTCAGTGTTGAGCCAGCTGAAATGACATCTTTGTTCAGGCTACACTAAGCACTTGCTATTCCCCAGTGCACCATGCTGTTCCCAGGCCTCTGTGGTGTCTCAGGCAAGGACCTCTTCCTGAAATGTTACCCAATCGCATGACATTACCCTCGTATTTCAAGGCCATATTTTCTCTGAACACTACCCTTCAGCTTTCCCTGAAGCCCCTTTCCCATGCCATCCACTGTCTAAGCTTTGACTCTAGTATTTTTTACATGGTTTTATACCTCTCTGGGTTTATATCTATCTGCCTTCAGTAAATTCCTTGAGGATAAGTATTTTTATCCTTTTTTATGTGCCTAAAATCATTACACTCAGTACCTGCTACATAATAAATATTTGTTGAATGAACAAAAGAATTGATGAATATGTTTTATTATTGAATATTGGTCTTAACCTGAAGTTCTAATAAAGCAAAGTGTTCTTGAAAAACTGAGTTAGCTTATATTTTCAATACTACATTTGTACATGGGTATTGTCTAATATTTTGAATTTGATAATGATTTTATAATTTTTTTAAAAATCTGTATATAGTAGTATATTAAATTTAGGCCAGAAGAGACTTGTTTGGGGTGCTCTTTGGTTTTGAACTCTTTTTATTTTGTGAGTTATTTCTTTATTTGGAATGATGAACTGTCAAGAGACAATACCATTTGCTTAGGAAAAGTGGGTTGGTTTAACGTCATCTGAGTATTATTGTCACCCAGATTTCTGGAAAACTAAAGGAATCCAAAAGTTAAAAATAATATAAAGTTCTTTTATCTCTCATGGATTCTGGGAAAAGTTAATGAAGGTTCCTAATGCTGATAACTTTATTCCTGAAATACTTGCAGCTCTGCCTTTTGTAGAAGACTGCACATTAATCATGATGCTCGGTAGAATGTCATGTGGGTGAAATATTTAGCAAACATCATCTGCTAATTTAAAAAGTAATGATATCATCTCAGTCACTGGTTATAAATTAGATATGTTGGCTTTTTTTTTTAAATTTAGTTATTAGCCTGTATGTAATATTTGCTATGTGCAAAATAATTCATTTTACAAATAATTTAACTTACCATGTGCCAGAAGCTTTGTATTACTTAGCTCAAGAAATACAAGATGAATGAGACACAGCCTTTGCCCTCAGTGAACTTGTAACCTATTAGAGAGATTAGACATCTACACAGTCTGTAAGACAGATACTGAATCTGGTTGAGAGGAACAGGCAAGACATCTTGAAACAAGTAGCATTTGATCTGGATAAGATTTCAGTAGACAGATCGTGTTAATTGGATTTTCTCCAATTACAAGAAGCAGAGATGTGCTTTCTCTCAGGCTCTCTCAGTGAAGGAGGTTTACTGTAAGGCTCCACAGGCATAGGAAGAGCAGGGAGGCAGTCTCAGCAGCCACGCCAGCAGGCCTCGCAGAGAAGTGGACACTAACTCTGTAGCGCGAGAGCCCCTTTGTTGTCTTACTAGACGTGAATGTCTGCTGTTCCCTTCTCTCTTGATCTACAGTATGGTCATTCAGCTGTCCTCTGTCTTTGCCTCCACAGCAAAAGTAGAATATGTATCCCTGTTTCATTACTCAAGAGAGAAAGTTTGACTCTGCTAATCTCTATTCAACAGTAAGCACCCTGCTGCACAAAGCTCATACCAACGACCTTGTAGGCTGGATATATGTTTTTGACTTGGTGTAAACAAGTCGTGGCCAGGGAGATGGGGTCTTATGGTATAGAGCAGTGCTTCTTAAACTTCAGCATGGCTATCAATCACCTGAGGACCTTGTGAGAATGCAGACTCTGATTCAGTAGGTCTGGGGTGTGACATGAATTCTTTGTTTTCTACGAGCTCCCAGATGATGCTGATGTTGCTGCTTCTGCCCACATTTTGAGTATCAAGGATAGGACATGGTGACCTCTGTGTGAATATAATTACTCAGAAGGCAGACACTCTGTTTGGGAGGTCTGTGGTTGTGAGATGGCATCTCATGTGAAGGAGTAAGTATAAACAGGAGTGGAGGAAGATGCAGTGTTGATGTCTATATGTGTTTTATATAGGGACAATTTTGAATATGGTTAAGGTCTGAGTAAATAAGGCATCTTCAGACCAAAAGGTTTGTATTTAAACAATTCAAGTGCAGTCTCTGAATAACAAGGTTGTTGTTTAATGTTTTTAGTGAGAGACGGTAAGCAGTTGGGTCTGAATTTAAATTATTCATCTTCACTTGAGAGTTTGCTGCAAAACTCTTTTCACAGTTTGCCACCAAATCTGTGTTGATAGTGAGGATTGGCAGTAGATCTGCAGTGAGCCTTAGCTGTTTATTATGAGAAGTTGAGAGCCAGAGTCCCTGGTGTGGACACCAAGTATCAGATTTTTGTATCATTCTGCTACTTTAGGAGAACCACACGTTTCTAGTTGTTTTCATTAGAGACTTGTAGATGTGATAATTCAGCCGTTGGTCACAAAGGTCCTTGAACCATTAGTGTCTGACATCCATAGAGTTAATACCAATTTCAAAGCACCATTACATACATCTTCTATTTATGTCATAAATATAATCTAGGACTGACATTAAAAACCGAAGAGTTTTTTGACAATGCTAGAGTCTAATGATTTAGAACTATGAGTAATGTCTAAAAGAAGAGAACTGAATTAAGTATTCAGACCCTCTGACCTAATGGCAGATGCGTGAAGAAAAGCAGTCTTCTGACATCTTTCCAATTTCATTCATTACATTTGAAAATTACATTTATTTAGTCTCCATGTAATATTATATCTATTCTTCATGGATCAAAACACAGGGGAATGACCATTTTATATTCATTTAATATCTTGAGCTCACCCATTTTAACTCAGTCTTCTTTAAAAAATGGCTTATTTTCACTTTAATGATCTGAAAAAGCAAAAATGGTTAGGTGACTGACTAGTAATGTCCCTTAAAAAAAAAAAAAAACAAGGATTATCCTAATTTATGTGAGTTAAGTCTTGAGAAAGATTTTCAAAGTTCACCTTCTGTTGGTAATCACGTAAAATTCCAACTTACTGGACAATTTATCCACATGAGCTTCTTTGACTTCTACATTTTGGTTTTCAATTGTCAAAGAAACAATGCTGCTTAGTATGAGGAAGGTTTTTTGCACAATGAAAAGAATGCTGGCCTTGGAGCGACAAACTTTGTTTAAATTTCTTCTTAACACATACTTGCTATGGTACTTTGGACAAGTTATTTAATCTCTATGAGCCTTAGTTTCCTCATCTGTAAACTTGTGATGTTTATACCTACTTTGTAACATTATTTTGTTGATAAGACTAATGCATGTAATACAGTAATATAAACATTGCCATATAACAGTTTTAAACACATAAACATGAAGATTTAAAAATTTTTATAACAAAATATTTTGTTTTGATATAAATTAAAAGCAAAAGAACTTTTGTTACTTCATATCTGCGTAGGAAGAACATTATCTATTCATGACATAAGTGAAAACTGCGGTGCTTTTAGTTATAAATACAAGAGCTGTGGTTGTAATTGCCACTCAGTTAATGTATATACTGAAACTACCGTTGTCAAAAAAAAATGGTTTTCCAAAAAAAGTGGTGTTGTGTAGTTTACCAAATTTTAACCAATCTTCAAAATGTAGTCAGTAAATTCACTCATGCTACCATGAAGTAATATGGAGGAGTACAGAGAAGGATAGTCAGTTATCAATGCTGTTCACAGTGAAACATTTTATTAATTCACTTTAATAAAACAAGGCTAGGAAAGTCAGGTTATACCCATATGTTTTAAGAGAGTGAGGACCAGAAATACTGTGTGAGAATGGAATACTGCACTGCCATTCAAAATAAAAGAAGTCAGATAAAATGTCTCTCATGTCAGGTGAAGACCGATATTTTCAACGAACGTACACACAAACTCACACCACCACACGGAGAAAATACAAAGACATCTTTCTGATGGTTTCCTAGGTGCAGGCCACAGAACCACATACTGACATATTTCTAACAATTCTTGGTATTATTTTTTATAATTAATCTGCCTTAGATTAATAGAAAACCAGGGATATCCATTATTTTAGGTGGTGCTTCCTGGCAAATGCTGGTATAGAAGTTTATTTGTCAGTGTGTTTTTATATGATGAAGCATCTGTGGGGCTTTGATTTTAAAAAAGTGAATGAAGCCATTGATAAGCCATTGATAAGATCGGTCTGGGAAATGGGTTCAAGGGAAAGGCGAATTTAAGGACAGGAGCCCGAGTGTGTGGATCTGGGTCATTGTGAGCCTCCGGGTTTTACTCTGTGTTTCAATCTTGGAGATTTTCTCAAGGTCAAATTGATTTGCAGAGTGTCCCAACTGTTTAGTTCCAGTGTAGTGTACAAACAGCCAAATCATCCATGTCAAAGCAATTCTTTCCTCCATTAATAATAGAATAGTCATGCTTTTTGTAGTTTAGGTCTTATAGAGGGGGCGATATTTTGAATCTAGACAAGTTATAACCTTTCAGCTAATTTCCCCCAAGCATCGCCATTCTTATCCTTTAGACACTTTCAACGTTTCTTCAAATATGGAAGTACTTAATATTACTTTTCCTTCCACAGATCCAGTGCCCCACTTGCCAATTTGTCTGGTGTTTTAAGTGCCACTCTCCTTGGCATGAAGGCGTTAACTGCAAGGAGTACAAAAAAGGAGACAAATTGTTGCGTCACTGGGCCAGCGAAATTGAGCATGGGCAGAGGAATGCCCAAAAGTGTCCAAAGTGCAAGGTAAGGTAAGCTTTAGGAGGACAGGACAGAAATGTATGCATCTCGATATCATTGAACAACAATCTACAATATTGAAGTAAATTAAATGTATAACCTTAATGCAGGTGTGGAGAAAAAGAATGTTTACTATTTCGTTTTAGAAGAGCAATTATGTTACGTAACTAAATTGAAGATTTTATATATAAGCAATGCATATCCGTATTTGCATTACTTTTCAAAATATAAGGAGGCTACATATAAATACTGCTTTTAAACTTCCAAATCCTTATTTTCCATTTAAAAATGGAGATGTGTGCACAGGGAAAAGCTAGTTTGAAAATGATATGCAAGTATTATTTCCAGTTTGTCACATGTACTGTAATCACTTCTCCATCAGGTAGGCTCTGAATCCTTAAAATCTTTTGCTTTTCTCTCCTTCTGCCATTGCTTATCACTTTAGGATCGCGCTAAACTAATCATTCGCTTTCTATAAATCTGGTGACGTAGAAGCTAACAGCTAAAATCAGGACTTAGGAATTTTTTAAATTCTGTTTTTCATTTTTCTGATAATCATGCGAGTAATCAAGAATTAGCGGGCATTTGAGCTTCAACCTAGATGCTGAAAGTCAACCATGCAGATAACCCAGGAAGAGTCTCTATAGTGAAGTCAGAAAGTCAGTCCAGCTAGAAAACTTTGAATTTGATGTTCACAGAATATAAATTGTTGAAACTGGAAGTTTTTTTTAAAGCTCACTTTAGAAAATAATATGTGTATATATGTATATGTGCACTCTACCATATATGGTTTCCCCTTTTTGCCAGATTTATTTTTGGAAATCTTGTCTAAATTGGGCCTTATTTTCTTTCAAGAACAATTCTGCAATTCCTTCCTGGAGACTTAGCACCAGATAAATGAAATTTGAATTATCAGAAAATTGTTACAATTAATCATTATAAAGCCAACTTGAAGTAATAAAAGTATATCTGAATCTGATTAATGAGCATAAATATAATCCACAAATTCTCTATGTTTGCCTGAAATAATATGCTACATTCTTAGTAATTGGAAAAACATTTGAAATCATTTAGATGAACTGCCTCTTATAAGTGAGGTCTAAAGATGTTTTCGCTAAAGCTTTCTTTGTTTTCCCTGTAGAAGGCAAATTGATCTGCAATTATCCTTTTGATTTTAAGGCTTTGCTTCAGGTCGCTGCATTCAATTGCTCAGTACACATTTATTCTTCATCCACTGATGAACAATGAGAAAATAAGTCCTTTTCCCCTTTCTGTTGCCTTTTCAGTTTATTCAAAGCTATTGCTGGGTTTCAAACTAAAGAAAGGCCCAAAATCCCAATAGGAATTTAGGAGTGCTGTTAAGTCATTCTATCTAACACTTTGTACATAAGTACACTTTATATCTTGCTGGAAAGCTGTGAAAACAGTTCCCATTTAGCCTGGCTGTAAGACTGTATGCTCAATGAGCAATACTGCAGCTTTATACATAGAGGACATTCTGAATGAATTGAAATACTACATAATAATACGTTTGTTTGTGTAATTCTTCCATCTAATATTAAATGGACTCTTGACGTAGAGGGGAGAAAAAGCAGCCAACTATAAGGACTTTACTGAATGCACTAAAACCTTCCCCCAGTTTTAACAAATATAAACAGTTAAGAGAAAACATACATGCTGGTTGCCTGTTCAAGTAATAGCTAAAGTTTGGGGCTTTAAAAGGAATTACCTTTTAAATAGCTTAAAGGAAAAGAGCCAAGGAAGATGGAATCAGTTTACATGACTATCTTGTAGCAGAGAACTTTCTGGTGAGATTCAAGTTCCATAAAATTTATGTCAGTTTAAGTCATATTTTATGACTTGTTTTGAATACAAATGTTTTGTTTTCTTTTAAGCATATGGCTTTAAAGCTTTGCATTTTCTTTATTGTGACTTTTTTTGCATGGACCTTAAAGTTATATTTTCCTCCTCAAAACATTTTGATTCTTATAATAGAAATCCATGAGGAGATATTATTCAATGAATTAATACTTATTTTGTACTACAAGGCTTTATTTTCATAAATAATCTTTATTAGTTTGCACATATAAGAAAGGAAGATGCTAGGAGTTTGTGAAAAAGAAATGCTTCTAGGTGAACAAAATGATGATTGTATATTTTCATATGAATATGTTTTCAATAATGATAATCAAATGTATTTAAAATTGTATTGTGACCAAAGTATATTTATATTTTTATACCCTAGGTATATTTGTTTAGATGAATTCATAATTTTAATAATTTTGATTTTTAAATGACTTTCTTTACAAAGGTCATATAACATATGATAGAAATTTGGAAAAGAGAGGGGAAAAACTTATCCAGAATGCTGCCACTCCAGTATTCTCACTCACTATTAATATATTACTGTGCCTCCTCTGTATTCCCCTACTTAAGTAACTTTTTAAAAAGTTTTAATTATAGTGTACAATTTTATATGCTTTGATTGTCCACTTAATATGTCAAACTTTTCTCATGTTACTAAGTAGTTTTCATAACCTGATCATTTGAGGCAAGCCAGTTTAAAGCAAGCAGAAAGTTAAAGTTAAACAATTAACAGATAAAAGAAGCATTGTCTCTTCAAAAATATTTCTGAAGCAAATACTGAATATGTTTACACTATTAAATGTGGATGACGAATCCATATATGTCTATACCATTGTTATCTCTAATTTGTAAAATATTTGAAATAATTAATGATTAAAAATTTTTTTAAAAATCTAACCAGGGAATAAAAAGACTAACATTACAGCTTTCTGGAGCTGCTTAAACATCTCTATTTGCTCACACAACCTCTAAAGATTTGGCTGTCACATATTTTTTCCTTCCTCGGGTAAAAGTTAAATATTGCCAGAATATTGGACTGAAACAAAGTTGAGTTAATATTTCTCAAAAATGTTAGCATTTTTTTAATTTGGAAAATTAAAGGGGAATTCCTTAAACATCTCTTTCCCAAATTTCCTTCTTCCTTAATGTCAGATAAGAACTATTTATATAAATGTTTATATAATGTGGTATGTGTAATGTGGTGCAGATACAGTCACAGCTGACTAGATTACATGTATCTCACCACCTTAATTTTCCTCTTATATAAATAATCACATATCTCTATTTAGAACATTTAATAAGACATTGAGTAGAGATAATTAACTAGGATATTATACATTTTCATACACTAATATAGAAGTAATGTGATTTATGAATTAATGAGTAATTAAGTCACTTATTTTATTCCAGGGTCAGCATACATCTTTCCTATTTCTAGGTGACAGGATAGTCACTTTAAAAAAAAAAAAAGAAATGCCAAGATATGAAGAGAGTACTGAGTTCCGATATGCCATCTTTATTTTATTCATGAAAGTACCATTGTACAATGCTCTCTTTCTTTGTTGTGTTAGCACGGTAATAATAATAATAATAATAATATCTAATATATACTGATATTTACTGTGTCAGTCTCCATTTTAGTTTTATATATGTGTTGTCTCATCTAATCCTTCGATGTGATACTGAGATGTTAAATTTCAATATGCCATCCAGATCTTAATTAAGTGCCTTTTGGTAAAACTAAGATTTTACACGATGATAAATTGACAGGCTCAGTAGTATGTAAGTTATATTTGTTGTCTCATTTAATTCTGAAAAGAAAGTTGTGATGAAGGGGTGATTACCACCATTTCAAGATGTAACAGTTTCAGAGAGGTTAACTAGAGCAAAAAGGCAGGGGAAAGTGAATTATGTTCATGCATAATTTATTGTGAATTTAGAATTAAGGGAATTTACTTGTCATGATATTTTTCTTCATATATTTTATTCTCTTAAATCCTATAATAGGATTTTTGGGCAAAAATGTATTTTCAGAGATAGTAATTAATTTGCTCCTGTTCACAAAAAATTAGCACAAAAGCCATGTCTGTGGGCTCTTATATCTGAGCTTTAGCTACGCCGTCTGTGGTTGCTGAAGAAAGAACTTGGAGTATTAATGTTGGATCTTATAGATAATTCTGCAACTCGCTAGCACTTTACACACCACTAGAAAAGCATATTCAGGGGCCAATGCCTACTTTCAAATAGAGCTCATTCAGAAAATAAAATAGCTTCTCCTTAAATCCTGATTACCCATTTTAACTCTCCAGATTACTTGAAATCACTAAATTTGGAGCAGTAGTTATCATTGCTACTATTTTCTTGGTGTGGCAAAGTCTAGACCCTATTTGTGAGAAGAGTCTGATCATTTGATGGCAGATACTTTCTACGATATAAACTGTATTGCATACAATGCCCCGTTTTTATGCAAAATAATTGTAATATTTGTTTACTATCCTGAGATTAAATTTATAATGTGACTTCATATAACATTTCATTAAAAAATCAATATATTACCCTAATTATAATATAAAATAGAAATAAGTGAAAATAATATAATGAAATAACATGTATTTCAACATATAAATGCTCAGATACCATGACATTAAAAGACATAAAGAAGTAGTCAAATTTTTGAACCTATTTATAATGAATAAATTAAGATTTAAGAAAAATTTGGATTTAAGAAATGAATATTAATGTGAAACTTAAATATTATCAATACCTATTCTTTATATTTGACATTTTAAAATGAGGACAAAATAAGTATATGTGTGTGTATGTTTATATATGTATGTGAATATATACCTATTTTTACATGTAGATATATTGCTAGAAAATTCAATGTACGTTAAAACTATGCAAACATATTTTGGGCTTATATACAAAATAGAGTTAGATTCTGAATACAATCAATCTTTTCTCAATTTACACAGTAGTTACATAACTAAAAAATCTATTATATATTAAATTCAAGCTAACATTATTTTGCATTTATATGTAAAATTGAGTAAGGTTCTATGTTCAGATATTTTTAAACAGAGTTTCACCTTTATTTCTAATGCATTAGAAATCTTTATGGACACAACTTAACTCTCTAC